GGTTGTCACCTCTTGCGAGAATTTCGGCCTCGTCAAATTTGAATGTGTGGCCGGAACCCGTCGAATGAACCGCAACTTGAGAGCTGGCGTCATTTCTCCGCACTGCTGCAGCGTGTTCGGCCATTCGCGTTCGGAGCTGTCTTCCGGTTTCTCCGACGTAGTTGCTTTGTCCGCAAATGCACCAGATCCGATAAACGACTCCAGACGTTTCTTGCCGTGGCAGTGGGTCTTTTGGTTTCATCAGTTGACGCCTGATGGTTGCCTCTGTCCTCCGGCCTCTCGAAGGTAGAACTGTCGTGTGTGTGTGTGTGTGTGTGAGTGGGGTGTAGGGGTGTCAAGCGGTGGGTTCACTTGATGGTCGTAGTGGTCGCTCACTTGCTTGCAGGTGAGACTACGCCTAGCGTCCATTTACTGGCACCCAACTCTCACATGTGGCTCCACGTAGCTGGGCTCTGCTCAGCGGCCACACCCCGGGCAACCGTCTCGACCGGCGGGCTAAGCCAGTTGAGGGCGCTGTGCGCTTGTGCCGCGTGCACAGTGTACTGCGGACTCCGCTGGACGGATGGTCGGATGAAATATTGCGCCGGCATCGTCGAGACGAGGCTCTGCCTGGTACGCAGTTGGATAACTGCTGCCGGGACGGGTCTCTGCATCGCCTTCCCTGAGACGCGCCCACCCTCGTCGACGGAGACCGCGGACTCACGGCATATGCGGTCGTTCTCCACTACGAAGATAAAATTCGTGGCCCCATAGTGGGATTCGGTCGCGCCAACCAGGCACATGGGCAGCCCGATTCAGGGACGGCACTGCCTGCCCCCATGAGGGGAAGGGTCTAGAAAAGGTGGCCTAAAAAACGCTGGGCACCAAGCCGTCTGCAGGCTAGCCAAGGCCGCAGATGTCATCAACACGGTCGAAACAATCAAAATCGAAACAACAACAATACCAATAACAGCAACAACCATACTCATTCTCCTCATCCTACCTCTTCTTCCTCTTCCTCTGCCTATTCTTCTGCCTATTCTTCTCCTTCGTCACCTTCCTCTCTACCTCCTTCTCGTCGCCCCACTCGTTGTCACCAGACTGGCAGGGTGAGTCCGCTCACTCTGGCAGCCTGGAATGTTCGTTCACTTTCAGAAAATCCGAGGAGCAACCGACCGGAACGGAGGACAGCGTTAATGGCACGAGAACTGGCGCGCTACAAGGTGGAAATCGCCGCACTCAGCGACACCCGATTCTCCGAACAAGGCCAGTTACACCTTCTTCTGGAGTGGTCGACCCAAGACAGAGCGACGAGACGCGGGCGTCGCCTTCGCCATCCGGAACGACATCGTGGGACGACTGCCCTGTTTGCCGCAGGGAATCAACGATCACCTGATGAGCCTCCGTCTGCCTCTCCGGCGGGGGGGGGGGGGCAAATTCGCCACGCCTACGCTCCGCTGATGAGCTGCCCCGACGCCGCCGCAAGAGACAAATTCTACGAGGGTCTGCACGCCCTCTTGGCGACTGTGTCGAAGGCGGACAAGTTGATTGTCCTTGGCGACTTCAACGCCCGCGTCGGCATAGACCATACTGCCTGGAGAGGAGTGCTGGGTCCCCACGGTCTCCGCGGCTCCAACGACAATGGTCTGCTGCTTCTCCGCACCTGCGCAGAACACCGCCTCATGCTGACGAACACGTTCTTCTGTATGCCGGAGCGCCGAGAACGCCTCCGTGGAGAACCGCTGGTGTCAACTACGAGACACGGTCCAGTCGACGGCACTCGCCGTCCTCGGTCGCACTCCTCGCCAACACCAGGACTGGTTCGACGACAACGACGCCGTCATCAGCAATCTGCTCGCCGAGAAGAACCGCCTACACAAAGCCTACGTAGATCACCCCACTGATGCCAACAAAGCCGCTTTCTACCACAGTCGCCGCCAACTTCAGCAACGACTGCGCGAGATGCAGGACGCCTGGACTGCTCGCAAAGATGAGGAGATCCAAGGGTACGCAGATCGTAACGAATGGAAGAACTTCTTCTCTGCGATCAAAGCTGTCTACGGTCCGCCGACGAAGGGCACTGCTCCTCTCCTCAACGCCGACGGCAGCAGTCTCCTGACTGAGAAGACACAAATCTTACAGCGATGGGCCGAGCATTTCCGAGGCGTCCTCAACCGCCCTTCCGCCATCTCCGACGCCGCCATCGAGCGTTTGCCGCAAGTGGAGACCAACGCGGACCTCGACCTCCCGACATCTCTCCAGGAGACCATCAGGGCCGTTCAGCAGCTCCCCAGCGGGAAAGCACCCGGATCGGACGCTATCCCTGCATAGGTCTACAAGCACGGAGGTCCCCTACTGATGGATCACCTGACTGCGCTCTTCCAGGAGATGTGGCGTCAAGGTGAAGTCCCGCAAGATTTCAAGGACACAACCATCGTGCACCTATACAAGCGCAAAGGGAATCGTCAAGTCTGCGACAATCACCGTGGCAGCTCCCTGCTGAACATCGCCGGGAAGATCTTCGCACGAATCCTCCTTCTGCCGGAAAGTCAATGCGGCTTCCGTCGCCATCGTGGGACCACGGATATGATCTTCGCCGCCCACCAACTACAGGAGAAGTCCCAGGAGATGCGGACACACCTGTATTCTACCTTTGTGGACCTGTCTTATGTTCTCTGCCATGCTGATGGACGCCTACCGCGACGAACGCCCTGGAATCTGCATCGCCTACAGAACGGACGGTCATCTCCTGAATCAACGGCGCATGAACTTCCACTCACGCGTATCCACAACCACCGTTCACGAACTCCTCTTCGCCGAGGATTGCACCCTGAACACCACCTCGGAAGAGGAGATGTAACGGAGCATGGACCTGTTCTTCGCCGCCTGCGAGAACTTCGGTCTGGTCATCAACACACAGAAGACGGTGGTGATGCACCAACCGCCACCCAACTCGGTCACAGCCCCCAACGCGCCGCCGCAAATCAGCGTGAATGGGACCCAACTGCAAGTGGTGGAGAACGTCCCGTACCTGGGCAGTACTCTCTCCCGCAACACCAAGATCGACGACGAAGTCGCCAACAGAATCTCGAAAGCCAGTCAAGCCTTCGGTCGCCTCCAAAGCAAAGTTTGGAATCGTCATGGTCTCCAACTGAGCACGAAGCTGAAGATGTACAAGGCCGTCATCCTGCCAACGCTACTGTATGGAGCGGAGACTTGGACGGTGTACGCAAAGCAAGCACGTTGTCTGAATCACTTCCACCTCAGTTGTCTCCGTCGCATCCTGAGGCTGAACTGGCAGGATCGCATCCCCGACACTGATGTGCTAGAACGTACGGGAATGCTCGGCATCTACTCCATGCTGATACAAATGCAGTTGCTCTCGAGCGGCCACCTGGTGCGCATGGACGACGAGCGACTACCCAAACGACTCTTCTACGGAGACGTCGCGACGGGTTCCCGCCGTCAAGGAGGCCAGATTCGCCGTTACAAGGATACCCTGAAGTCCTCCCTGAAATGCCTTCAAATCAACCCGACCAACTGGGAGGAGCTCGCCCGCGATCGTTCGACATGGAGGAAAACAGCGAAGACGGGCGCTGCTATCCACGAAGCCAACCGCATAGGCGCCGCCAAAGCGAAACGTGAAGCCCGCACATCACAACTTCGCCCAGTAAGCAACGCCGCCGCACAACCGCTTCCAATGTGTCCTCGACGTCAACGGACATTCCGGGCTCGAATCGGACTTGTTGGACATCTTCGGAGCAACTAGGCCTCTCGAACTGCACCAACCATCGTCCCCCCGCCCGCCTCTTCTTCCCCGCCGCCGCCAACTAACTCTGACAATTCTTCTGAACCACCACTTCCATCCTCCTCCTCCTCCTCCTCCCACTGCCCCAGCGGCGGTCGCTCAGGCGGCCGTCTCGCACACCAACCCCGACACAACAACCGAAACCACCCCCACCTCTCCCGATTCCAGTGATGAGGATCAGGACTACACCTGTCCTCACTGCGATCGCACCTTCATCTCACGCATCGGCCTGGTCGGTCACTTGCGAATTCATCGCACAGAGACTGGCGAACCAGTGCCTGGAGCACCCACCTATACCCACCGAGCTCGTCTCAACTGCACACACTGCCCTCACACCTTCAGACATCGCATGGGCCAATTGGGCCACATGCGCATCCACGAGAGCGGCATCCGCACTCCCGCCACACCCACTACATCCAACACGTCCACCGTGCACACCCGCACCCTCGCTCCATCCGTCCGCGCCACCACCACCACCGCCTCCTCTGTAGCTGACAATGACACCGCCGAATTCTCATGCCCACACTGTCCACGCATATTCACCTCACGCATCGGCCTGGTCGGTCACTTGCGAATCCATCGCACAGAGACTGGCGAACCAGTGCCTGGAGCACCAACCTATACCCACCAAGTTCGTCTCAACTGCCCACACTGCCCTCGCACTTTCAGGCACCGCATGGGCTTATTCGGCCACATGCACATCCACGACGACCTGCAGTAGACAACCGCCGGCCACACCACACATCCACGCACTCCCTACCTTCCTCCACCATCACCATCACACATCAACACGTACACATCGCAAGCACCCAACTGCCACCTCCCACGCAAGTGGGAAGTGTGCATCTCGACTCGGTCCCCATACGGCCTCGGCTTTACGGGTGACTTGATTCCGAGTTTATCCCGACACGTCAAGCGTCGTGGATAGGAAGGCTGTTGACTGACGCCCGCACTCGGTCCACGCAGTTCGTCGCGTTGTCTGTGTGTGTTGTGTGGAGTGGCGGACTGGTGGGCTGAGGACGGGCTGAAGCAGCACCTTCCACGGCCCTCTCACGCAAGTGAGAGACACGCCGTTCAACCCCCGTTGTGTTAAATCCTGGTGTTTGTGTGTGTATGGGGGGCCAGGTCGTGCTGTGGCGCGCGCAGGCATGGTCAGTCGACCATGTCAGCCACCGCGCCCATTCCCCACTCCAGTCTACTGACCGGCTCGGACAGTGGCTGGGGTGTGGGAATGGGAAGGGAGAGTGAGGTCGACGTTTCAGCGCATTTTCCTCACTATAATCAATCTGACGCGCTTGAAGCTATCACGGTGCGCTAAAAGCCGTGGCTTGGAATGTTGCCAACTGACGGGGTACCTTGGACCTCCTCCTTAACGGGAGGCGGTCTGAGAGTCAGGCTGCAATGGCTCCTTTTTAATGTGGCCTTTATGGCACTCTCACCACAGTGTGGGATCCGAGCCAGGCGTTGGCGGCACGCCCAGGTGCGGCTTCGGCCGTGCCAGCCTCCAAATCTCTGTTGTGTTGGTTGAAATCCTGGTTATTGTTGTGTGGACCAGGGGGTGTGGTGGAATGCCAAGGTGAGGATCCGTCCGAGCCATCCACCTGCGACCTCCCTCGTCTCCGGTCTTCTTGACTCTGTCTTGACACCGGGCCCAGGCGGGGGAGGAGGAGAGAGTGTAGGTAGATGCTACGCAAGTCTACTGGCACTATAAACCCCTGCGTAAGTCACCGTCCCTGCTCCCACCGCTGCTGCAGCTGTGGGGCATACGGTGGACATCGTCGAAATCGACGGTCGAACTGTCGTGTGTGTGTATTGTGCCGCCCAAACGGGCCACGTGGTAGATGCGCTGGACCAACACCGGGGCCATTTCGGATTCTGGGAGGCGATGTCGGATTTACGCACCATAATAAATGTCAACATTTTGGGTTGCGGCGGTAGACCCGGTTGCCGGCAGACGGTTTGTCTTAGACTGTCCAGTTCGCTGTGCCATATAGCAAAGTCGTCAAGGTGACGGCTTTGTACATCTCCAGCTTGGTGTTAAGGTGGAGACCGTGGCGATTCCTTACGGAATTCCGCAGCGACTTTAGATATCCGATGAGCCACTCCGTCATCGATTTTGACGCAGCGTGAGAGTGCGCTGCCTAAGTAGACGAAGGTGTTCACGGTCTTCAGTTGGGTGTCGCTGACGTTGATTCGAGGGACGCCGTATGCAGCGTTCAGTGGTGGTTGGTGCGTGATCACCGTTTTGTCCGTGTTGATCGTCAGTCCGAAGTTGGTGAACCCGCCTGTGAAGACGTTCGTGCTCCGTTGCATGTTAGTTTCTGTCTTAGGGCTGAAGTGAAAATGTCGACGAAAAGCAGGTCGTAGAAGGCGGTCGTGGATGTAGGCGTTGACGGCTACATGTGCTGGTTGTTAGTAAAACGATCGGGGGTCCTGTAGTCGACGCTGATCTCGGGACGCTCATCACGATAGGTGCCCATTTGCATGGCAGAGGGAATGAGACTAAGGAGGATGAGAGCGAATACGCAGTCCTGCTTCATTCCGTTGGCTACTGAAAATGAGTTTGAGACGGTCCCACCGTCCGTCCACATCCCTTCGCACAGTTAACACATCATCTGATTGAATCCTTCGGGGCGTCTGAATTTCTGCATGATTTTTCACAGTCCATCATGAATCCACCTGTCGAAGTTAATGCAGAGGTGAATCAGCATTTCCTTACACTTCTCTTGCAGCTCACATGCGGCGAAGATTGTCAGTGGTTCCGCAGCGACGTCGGAATACCCGCTGACTTTCCGGGAGATGTTCCTGTTCGGGATGGCTGTTGAGGCGGTTGAGGAGGATGCTAGAGGAGATCCTTCGGCGATACTGAGCAGCGAGATATCTCTGTGGTTACGATAGATTTGTCAGTTCCCTTTCGACTATCGAGATGAACAGTTGTCTCATCCACTGTAAACTAATTCAGGCACAAGTCACCGTCCCTGCTTCACCATGCTGTGAAGCACATGGTGGACATCGTCGAACACGACGGTCGAAACGTCGTGTGTGTGTGTGTGTGTGTATTTTGGGGGTGTAGGGGTGTCCAGAGGTGGGTTCACGTAGTCGCAGTAGGTCGTTCACAAGCTTGCAAGTGCAGACTACGCCTAGCGTCCATTTGCTGGCCCGCAACTCTCACATGTGGCTCCCCGAAGCTGGGATCTTCTCAGCGGTCACACCCCGGTAACCGCCTCGACTGGTGGGGTAAATTAGATGAGGGCGTCCTGTGTGCATCTCCGCACAGGGTAGCTCGGATCCGCTATCACCATCGATGGCCGAATGGATTGCCGTCTTGGGATCTCCGATACGAGACTCCATCTACAACATCGCAGGAGTCCATAAGTCAAATAAGCCCACGGAAAAACGAACACTGCTTGTTTGTGCTTGTACGTTTTGTAATTCAAATGCCGCTCTGTTTACTTTGTCTGCTCACCACTTTTATATTTTAGCAACCAGCTAGCTTAGAGGGGGACGGAAAACTCTACTCCCCGTCTCTCTACCCTTCCCACACTTCCCCTCCTCCACTTCAAAAAGTCTTACGGCGAAGTCCTAGGCAGTGCCAGACTAATTCGGGTTGTTCTCCCACTAAACAAAAGTCGTCTCATAGTGGAATTCGACTGCTGTCTGGGACAACTGAACAGCCCTATTTAGGGAGACCACTGCTCACCCCCGAGTGGGGAAGGGGCCAGAAGGGTCAGTAGCCGCAGACGCAAAACACACGGTCGAAACAACCAACATCGAAACAACAACAACAACAATACTCTCCCTCTTCCTCCTCTTGCAGCTTCTTCCACTTCCTCTCCTTCTTCTTCTTCTTCTTCTTCTTCTTCTTCTCCATCCTCATCTTCTTCTCCTCCTCCTTTCCGCCAACCCACTCGCCAGACGGGCAGGTTGAGTCTCCTAACTCTGGCAGCCTGGAATGTTCGTTACCTTTTAGACAATCCGAGGAGCAACCGACCGGAGCTGAGGACAGCGCTAGTGGCCCGGGAACTGGCACGCTACAAGGTGGACATCGCCGCACTCAGCGAGATCCGGTTCTCAGAACAAGACCAACTGGAGGAGGTGGGTGCCGGCTACACCTTCTTGTGGATCGATCACCCCAGGGCAGAATGGTACGCGTGCGTCGCCTTTGCCATCCTAAAGGACATCGTGGGACGACTGCCTTGTCTGTCGCAGGGCATCAACGATCGCCTGATGAGCCTCCGCCTGCCTCTTCGGGAGGCAAATTTGCCACCATCGTCAGTGCCAACACTCCGCCGATGACCAGCTCTGACGCCGTAAGTGCAGCGAGATAGAGTTGTCGATTCCCTCTCCCTTCCTTTTCCCTACTGAGATGAACAGTTGTCTCATCCTTGAAGTCATGAGGACATTGTCATCGGTGCCACATCTTCTGGAATAGCCTTGTGAGTTGGGCCCTCAGTCAGATGACGCCGTGCTTGTGGACTCTGGCCGGAACCGAGTCGCATCCTGATGCTTTCCCGCTGGAGAGTTGATGAAGGACGCGGACTGTTTCTAGGAGAGAAGGCGGCAGATCCAGATGGTTGTTGGTTTCCACTTGGAGGAGTCGGTCGTTGGCGGCGTTGGAGAATGTAGATGAGAGACTGAGAGCACTTCGAAGTGTCCGTACAGTGGACATTGGTCGCTGTTCATTTTGACAGCTGCTGCTTTAGTAGGTGCTGAAGGGCGGAAACGACACCCTGAATTTACCCCGTTTTAAGAGAAATAGAGAGACAGAGAGGAATGCGCTTTTTTAAGTATAATTCCAAAATTTTCAGCAAAGACTTCCTTCATTCCGCTGGTCCGAATACAAATTAATGGATGTCGAGAAAATATATGGGTTTGGGAAGAAACACATAACTGTTATGGGAACAGTTTGTGTCCCAGTATCGGGAATCATGCCAAATATGGTAATACGGGACGTCGATATTCCGATGTACAGAAAGCGATAAACCGAAGGCCTCGGCGCATGGGGCGGAAAGACTTCGCAGCAATTGAATCCACGTGAAAGGGATGGACAACATCATCCATCATCCGTCATGAAATGTCGTTGTATTAAGATATCGGATAAAAAGGCATCGCCAGCATTCCGCTTATCTACCCCAAGGCCTGTACTCCAGTTAGAAGACAAGACCGGCAGCTGACTGCATGCCCACTCAAGTACGATGATCCGCATCTTCCTTGTGCGACTCAAATGCAAACTAATTTCTCGGCCGTAGGAGCTCGTCGGCCTAGGACATCTGATGTTTCCGATTCTCACTCTCACCAATCGTCAGAGACGATTGCAGAAATTGAAAACAAGCATGTACAGCAGAATTTATTGGGGCCAATAAATTTCGTGACGGCTTTTCAACTGCAACCCGTCTCTGCATAACATAGGTAACGAATGAAAGCGCACAGCAGTATGAATTTGTACAGAATGGCAGTGCATAGGAGCAAGGTCAACGTTCGAAATAATCAATGATTAGATAAGACGTCCACATAAGCATCAAAAAGGAAAAAGGGGAGACGAAATTTTAACAACAAATCACAGTCAGGGGGAAATAGAGGCGTGAGATTACCAGAGCAATTTCAGATTGATCACGTGATCTAACTGCTTGCACAGGTCTGGTTTCTCCCTCCGTATGTAGGCTGCTTCCAAATAACGCAAGGTTCGAGTTGTACGTGCTCGGACAAGTACTCGAAAGGATGCTTTAGGGTCGACAACATGACCGCTATCTAAGAGGTGTTTCGTTATAGACGAACGGGGGGTTCTATTTTCCTGTTTGAAAAGCCAATTAGGCAAATGCTCAGCGGCCCTGGTTGCCAATTGCCTTTGCGTTCGCCCAATGTACTTGCATCTGCAAGTGCATGTACATGCATGCATGCATGTACATGCTTGCTTTCAATTCATACCGGGGAAAAAATGTTTCAGATTGCAGAAATGCTCTCCAATGGTACAGTAGGTGGACGAACTCATGAAATATCAACCAAAATTACGAAATGAGTTTTCGTTTCGAAAAGATTAATCAATTAGTGTTGTAAAACTAATTATCCAGCAGAAAACTTCTATGATAATTCGGTTACCTCAGGATGCCGGCTTCTGAACGAACTCCTTTTCGGCTGCATGCAAAACCCACACTCTGTAAAAAATGACTTCTTACGTAGCATGCATTTTCCTCATTGTTTTCGATGCCCTTAAATACTCAATTATATTTAATGGAAAGTGTGCACAAAAATATTCGTTCTTTTGCTCATTCGGTAGAAAATCGCATCTTCTTCTAATTTCATACTCGGAGGAAGTATATAATTCGGTTTTCAAAATCATCTCCAATTCCCGAATAATTTTGAACCCGACCTGCAGTTACACTTGCATTCAGGGTTTTCAAGCTACAAACTGCATTTTTTCCGCGTACGGGGAACCGAACATTTCTCTACGCTATTAAGAGGGGATTATATGCTGTTCATAAAATTTAGCAGTGGATTTAAGCCGTATTGTTAACTTTACAATCCTCATTGTTAAATGCAGAGCTATGGCATTTTATGAACGGTCACTTCACCATATTAAAAAATCTCACAATTAGAAATTTTTCAATACCGAAGTGCAACCTTCTCTTGAGTATAAAATTGGAAGAAGACGTGATTTTCAACCGAATGAGTAAAAGAATGAATATTTTAATGCCTATTTTCTGTAAAATATAGTTAAATGTTTAACAGCATCGAAAATCAATGAGGAAAATACATGCTACGTAAGAAGTCGTTTTTTACAGAGTGTGGGTTTTGCATGCAGCCGAAAAGAAGTTCGTTCAAAGGCCGGCATCCAGAGGTAACCGAATTATTATAGAAGTTTTCTGCTGGATAATTAGGTTCACAACACTACTTGATTAATCTTTTCGAAACAAAAACGCATTCCGTAATTTCGGTTGACATTTCATGAGTTAGCCCACTCACTGTAGGTCCCAGTGAAAATCCAAAACGTTCGATGAATATGCATTATTGTTCCAGCGATCACTTCCTGTTACCATCCGATCCCTACATAACTCGCTTTTTTTGCTTTCATCGGCAGGGCAGAGGTGGGTTGTGCGGCAACGAATGCTGGACGGCGGAGAAGGGGGGAAGGCAGCGTGCCATGAGTCACCACGGTCTCGTGCATACATCGCTGCACTTGTTGCGGCTATCGGCGAATTGGGCCGTCGTTGGCTGAATTCGAGCGAGCCTAGTCTTTCGGGCCTGTCCAGAGATGAATCACGAAAGACAGCCGTCTGTTTTATGAAAACGTACGGATGAACTTTCCATTTCGGAAATGACTAACAAGGTGAGACTGAGAGTTATTATGGGAGGCAAGTTAGTGCGGCACATCCTCTTTTAAATTGTTTTAAAGACATCCTACAGAATTTTCTTCCTTGGCACAGCTAGTAGTAAGGAACGGGAATGGGGACCTCTTTCTTTCCTGCGGGGCCTTGCGCTTATTGCCAGGGCGATTAGGACCACGCGGCAGATGCGCTGGACCAACCAGAGTGGCTAGACCGGATGTTGGCATGTCTTACCAGGAATGCGCACCATGAAAAATGCCAAAATTCGGTGTGTGATGGCAGGTCCACTTGTAAGCTCATACCACGCCAGCTGGGATCCGAGATGCTCCTCCCACTGCATTTATTGTGGTGTAACATCCTGGTCAAGTGTTTGTTGTAGACCAAGGGGGGGGGGTACGCCTAGGCGCAGGCCTGTGTCGTGCCAGTCACCTGCGGCCTCTCCCACCTCCGGTCTTCTTGACTCGGTCTTGACATCATGCCGAGGAGGAGGGGGTGCGGTAGATGCTGTGAAAGTCCAGTACTACTGCAAAAAAACTCACGCTTAAGTCGCCGTGCCCGCTCTACCTTGTTGTGTGGACATCGTCAGAATCGATGGACGAACTGCCGTAAAGGTTAGCGCACGCGAATATTTACCCGTTTTGGGCTTTCAAGCAAGGCCACTCCTATTACGGGAGGGGATGAAGGGGGTTCCTACTCCTGTGTCCTGCCCAGCCGATGATTGTCAAATCATGGAAAAAAACTCAAAAGACGCTGTATCGTGGAAGTCTATAAAATATCCATTAAAACAACTGAGTTAGATTTGTGTAATCATTTACCATATTGACAAGAAAGGTACTTGCTAAAAGCCCAGACAATCATGTTTTGCCAATCTTGTGCCGCTGCCTGACGCAGCTGCGAGGGGTTCAGCTCATCAGTGAGTGCCCCAGCCTACCCCGTGTTTTTTTTTTGATGTACAAACTCCCGTTTCACCTTGTGTTGTTTAATTTCCGAGGACATTTATGCGCGAACTTGGAGTAAATCCCTCTAAATAGACCTTTCCAGGCACGATCCGAAGTTTGATACGAATATTTGAGTTGAAATCTATCAGCTACCGCGGAATAACCGCGTAATGTTCATAAACCGCCATAAGGCAGCCAATCGCATAGAATTCCGTAAGTATTTACCATACTGACAACACAGGTACTAACTTAAAGCCCAGACATGCGTGTTTCGCCAATCTCGTGCCGCTGTCTGACGCAGCTGTGATGGGTTCGACTCATATGTGGCTCCCAAGCCTTTCCCGTGTGTTTTCTGGCGTTTTCTTAAATATTCATATGGAATGTTGGACCGTGCCTAAAAATGGTCTATTCCGAAGGACCTGCTTCAAGTTCGGGCATTAATTTCCTCGGAAATTAAGCAAGTCAAAATAAAAAAGATCTCTTTGCATTGTTTTTAACACACAAGGATACTACTGGGGGAGCGAGTCTTCTCAGGCAATGCAGTCCTTCGTAGACGTTTGGCGAGAATTAAGTGGCACGGCACTTCAGGTTCATTTTCTCACTGCAGTTCTAAGAAGTCGGGCTTGGAAATGCAAAGTTTGAAGTAGGGGATGCAAAAATAACTTTGTTAATGCACTGCTTTTAAGACGCATGCACTTCCTCTATCGATTCTCGATGTCCTAGTAAATTCAGGCATATTTATTGCATTCATTTGATAGCAAATAACGTTTTCTTCGAATAAAGTTTCTCATTATGTAATATCCTATGAATTGCATCCTGTCTGTCTTCTTAATAATGCCCCCAATTAAGTATGCCACTTAGTCCACATAAGTTGCCACATTTTATGAGCCCCATAGGACTTTTTTTAACGGCATAGAGGAATGTACGTTTTTCCTTACATGGAAAGCGCAAAGCTTGAAGACTGAAAACCAAATTAAAATGCGATACCAGATCTACTTCAAAAGTTTTCGTGAGAAGAAAATTTCTTTTTAAATCT